TGCAGACATTGTAGTTTCCTTGTCTAGAAATTCAGTCCAGGTCCTTTGTTATGTCGTCTGTGTGTTTCTTCATGTTATACTCAGTCTTACTCAATTTTTTTGAGTGCATTTAAAAGTTCAAATGCATTCTGCATACATTTATAATAACTGTCTAAATGCTTTTTTCTATTAACAGAAATCATTTGCATAGTTTCTGGGTCTGTTAATTGTGGTTGATTATTATCCTCATTATGTTTCATATTTCCTCCTTCTTTGCATGCCTGGTAAATCTTAACTGGATGCCAGACATTGTGAACTTGTTGGGTGCTGGACATTTTTGTATTCTTTAACGCCCTTAAATATTGTTCTGTGGTTCAGCTGAGCTAACTGACCGAGCATTCTGATGCTTTTTAAAAGTTTTGTAATGCAGGATCTGAGCTGTCATTAGGCTGAGTCTGCCTTTGCCTCAGTACTGAGGTAATAATATTCTGACGACTCTATCCAGTGCTCCATTAACTAGGGAATTTTCCATTCTGGATGGTAGAAATGCAAACTTTCCTGTTCCTGTATGAACCCCTGGGATTGATCCCCTGCCTTTTTATAATTCTTCTCTGGCTTCAGATTAGTTACTTACCTTTATTTGCTGATCAGCACTGATAGGAATATTTAAGGAGGGCCACTACTAACTCTTTCTCTGCATGCAACTCTTTCCTCTCTAGTACTCTCTGAGCCATGACCCCCTTAGTCCCTTCAAATTCCCAGCTTCACCATCTCAGCCCATGGCGGCTCTGTCTTTTTCTTGGGCTCTAGAAAGCGCTCCTAAGCTGAGGACATTACAGGACTCATTTAATGTTTTTGACAGCTCTTATGCATCAATATCCTATTGGAAATGCAATGTATCTAAAATCCAGTGTTTCAAATGTTTTGTACAACATTTAATTGTTTAAGCCATGAAGCTGAAGTGAGTCTTGGTTATTTTAATTTGAACAGAAGTTAAGTGTTGTGTTTTTGATGATAAGGAAATCTACATGTGTTCATAGAGAGGGAAAAATTGGAGGTAAAATAGAAATTGAAAATCTCAGGGGTAAAGAAAAATTAACAGATCAACTTCCGAATGGAAATAGAAAGGAGAAATAATGAAAAGCTGAGAGTGGATCAACTTTAGAGAGGAAAAGCATACTACTTATGAAATAGAAGGAAAGTAAAAGCAATGGTGATGAAGCAGAGAAATGCAGATGCAGCGTCTGTTTGATCAGCTGATATTATTTGAGCTTCTATCATGCAATGTGAATAAATCTCAACTGCCTTCTACAATGTGGGAAAAGGATGGAGGAGATAGAGTAGAAAATGAAAAGTGATTCCCAGCATAACTTGCCCCCAAATCACCCTCCTTCGAATTCTTTATCCCTGAGCTTTCAATATTCTTGAGAGACGAGAGGGGTGTGTAGATTATCTAGAAGATTCGGCAAAAGCCTACTTAAAATTTTCTGGTGGTCTGAGTCATAGCTCATGTTGGTATTTCTGGTGCCTTCACTGAACTGCTCTATTGAATATCTGTTACAGAGCACTAGTTAAGGGATTGGAGACAAGTAGGAGCACAATTTCAATTTAGTGATTTGAGTATTCTGTGTGGTTAAACACATTGGGTAGTGGGCACCCCTCCATAATCTTCAATGACCAGGGAATGTCATAAAGATGACATTTTGACCCACAGGAATTATCCAGAAACTGATATGGAATAGAGTAATAGTAAAAATAAAGGATAGTCCATTAGAAGATGGAAGATGTGGAAAGACTCTGTGGCAGGAGAGTTACTGAGAACAGGTGGATTAATAGGACTGAGAAGGTCAGAGAGCTCATCCGAAGCTATACCCCAGTCTTACCTTCACAGCATTCTCAGAATTTGAATTCATCCTGAGAGCAGTAGAGAATTCTAGACAAGTTTCAAGTAGAGGAGTGACTGTGATCAACTTTGTGTTTAGAAATCAATCTGATGGCAGTATGAAAAATTAAAACTGTAAGAAGGAATAGAATCCTGAGATACAGCCAAAATATTGGGAATGGAGGGTGTGGTTATATCCCAGTGAGTAAAATAGTAGAACTGCAGGACTTACAACTGGTTAATTATGTGTTATGAGAGGAGCTTCCTCAGGAAACTACCAGATGTTTGTTTTGGATGATGGTTCTTAATGAAACATGTATTACTGGTAAAGTAACATTACTTCTCACAACTGTAAAGTGAGTGAAAGTAAGGACGTTTGGAATGGTTTAAATGTGCTTTTAATCATTGGGTCATACTGTCTTTCTGTGCCAGGTAGAAAGATGGGGAAAGTGTAAGAATCCATGAGATAATGAGGGAAATGGTGAGAGAGGCTGGTGGAGGAACATGACAGTCAAGAATCCCTAAAGCCAGTTGGGGCTCGGTAGGGTGCATTACTAATGGAAACAACAGTTTTGCTATGACATCTTTGCAGTGACCCTAGACAATCTGAGAGCAGAATCAAAGAATCAAAGATATAGATGTTGAGTTGAACTCAAGCTAAAATATGTGGGGCAAGGTGATTAAGTAAAGCATTTAATGGAAGACAATATATGAGATTATCTGAGACCAATAAACCCTCTCTGAAATACCTTTCTGTGAGCACAGGATGAGTCTAGAGGCCAGAAATGCCAGAATGAAGACAATAAAAGGCTGGCGAGGGCAAGACAAGAGAATAGAAAAGGGGGTAAGGAGAGCAGAAGGCTGGCTAGAGAAGACAGAGAGGACAAAAAGAATGTTAGACTAACAGGACACAGTCACTGAGAGGATGTTACGTTCAAGAGAATGATGGCGGTGAAATCCCAGGGGTACCTGGCAAGTGTAGAGTGGGTCCATGTGATTGAGGGTAGCGGTGGAACTGAGGGAAAATTGTGGAAAATGTCATGAATTTGAATGCTGCCATTCAGAAAAAAAAAAAGAAAGGAAGGAAGGGAGAGAAAGAAAGAAAGAAAGAAACAAACAAACAAACAAAATAGGGTCCAAAGGAAGATTGTGAGCAAAATAGAAGTGGAAATGAAGTAAGAGCTCACAGTGAATGCTGGGACAGGGCAGGGTATACTTTTCTTTCTTTGATTCCAGAGCTGTTTCCAGGGGGCTGGAATTCTCAAAACAGGTTTGAGTTGTGGTCCTGAGAGGGGAAAACGTTTCTAGGGAGGAATTTATTTTAAATAATATGTTAAATTATAAAAGAGGCCTCTCTCGCTCTCTCTCCCCCTCCCTCCCTCACCCCCTCCCTTATATATATATGCCACAGGCCATTGTGGAAGCAAGTAGAAGAGGGTAAGCAGGCATGGTCTGGGATAGTCAGGGAGAGAGGGGGAGAAACAAGATATAGCAAAGAGCTTGCTGCAAAGAATACAGTGAAAATGCTCCTTTTGGTGACAGTTTTATTTTCAGTGAGCACAGTTGAAATTTTTCTGAGTCACTTATACTTCTGGAAACTACAAAGTCATTTTAGTTTATTCACTAAAATTTGGGGCATCCATTATAGTTGCTGACCATCTCGTGACGAATTCTTTGAAGACGTCTTCCCTTTGAACATGCTTTAAGTGCTTATTAAGAAATGTGCTGGAGAAAATTAAACAGAAAGATCATTTCATGGCAGTCAGAGTCTGAACACAGAGATGGCGCATTGATCAAATAAATTAGTGCAAAAATCTTTAAATTTCCTATTAATAATTACACACATGAAACATCAGCTAGTAATGACTAAGAGGTGGAGAACATAGGAGGTATATACAAAAGGTTTCGCCCACACCCTGTTTTGTGGTTTTTAGCCTGATGCTCTTGCCACACCTTTGAGTTTCGCTTACTAAAACAATAAAGAGGTGGAATAACTAAAATCTGCTGACCAGCCCAGAGAACTAAACACAGTTCCTTACAAAGAAAACCTGCCAGACAAGATCACAGTTCACTTTGGTGAATGTCTGAGGTGGTGATGAGTTAGCTAATACTTTTTGCAACCTGGTCTATGCATTTTGGCCTATCTGATTTTGTTTCTCTTCAACTGATCTTACCTCCTTTATTTCACTTACAAAATGTGGACATTAAAACCAAAGATAAAATGGGGGTTAATTGGGGCAATTTATCCATTCTAGGTGTACAAACCTCTCTTTGAAATTCTTTGTAAAAAACCAAGAGCAATTCATAAGTTTCAGGCAGGTGAAATCAATAAAAAGAATGTTTTCTGTGAGAAAAATAACCTATATACATATGAGCATGGTCACTGATAACGAAAAAATTAGAGAAATAGCGTTTATATTATTTACTATTTTAGGAGCGCTTACTATGCACTAAGCTCTATTCATGCTCAGCTTTGTAACTGAGGCCTCCACAAGAGATAGATGCCCTTGTCTCTAAGGCACTGATGAGCACAACAGCGTGCTGGCTGCCCCTATCACTTCCAATCAGAGCTGTTGGAGTGGAGTCGACTCTCTGGCATGATATTGTCCTAGAGACGGTTTTAAAATCCCACTGGAATTCCATTTAAAACCAGATCCACTCTACCTTTTAGCTGTGACCGGGACCTTGATTGTTACCAGCTAAATCATAGCACCAGGACCAGTCTTTCAGGTAAGTTGAGGGGGGGAGGTCTGAGAATTGGGGAAAGACAGGCGGGAGAGAACAGATGGAAACTAAGAGGAAGGAGAAAAAGCACTAAGAGGAAGGAGAAAAAGCACAGGGCGTGGCCCCCGCAGCGGGACAGCGGAGCGGGAAAGACCGCGCCAGGTGCCGGCCGCCCCTGTGCACTTGATCTGCGCGGGCGCCGGGGCGTCGGCGCGCTCACCTGAGCCCACGTGACGGGGCGGGACCCGCCAG